GATTATGTTATTCCGAGAGTCAAACAGCAGGAGACTCTGGGAATGCTGAGAAGGTTCTTATCCACAACATAAATCTCCCTCCATTTCTCTCTTCCTCTTCTTCTTCTTCTGCAACCCCAAGCTGCAACATCCTTCATCCTGCTACCAAATTATCCCTCCGTAAGTTATAATTACCTTCTCTTTCCCTCGACCAGTGAACTTGTTTCTGCTCTGCAGACTTTCATGGCTGTCTTCTCTTCGACCGCTCCCTTACGCTCAATTCTCCAACTCAAGCCCAAATCCTCCCTCTCATTTCCAGGTTCTTTTTACTTTTCTCCTGATAACACATTTCTCTAAGTTTTTTTTTTCTTTTTTTCTTTATACTTACTTAACTTTGTGTTTTTTGTGCTCAAAAAGCGGATTCCTACCACGGAGTACGTGACCCCGCACAATGCCGCTCTAGCACTGTCAATATCTGCTCATGGAGCTCAGCTGCAAACTACGCCAGGCTCCCAATCGGCGACGTGAGACTTTCCAGCCGCCGCCTTGACGTCAAACAATTCTCACAAACGAGGCAAGAAGTATTTTGTGTTTATATTTTGTTGATTTACCTCAGTTTGATGCTCTTTGTGGTCTTATGAGAATTGTGTTCATATTTTCTCGTTTTCTATTGAAACGCGACTCCAGTTTAAAGTGGAAAACCATCTATTTTCGATTTTCTATATGTTGTTGTGCGACATTTCAGGATGCCATTTGTGAGGAACGCGACTATTGAAGAAATTGAAGCTGAGAAATCTTTGATTGAGAAAGACGTTGTAAGGATTGTCTCTTGGTTGTTCCTATTATGAACTTTATGTGGGGGTTCGTATTGGCTTCAAGTGTATTATTGATGTTTTCTTTTTTCTGGGAGGCAGAAAGAGAGGATGGAGAAGACCATTGACACAGTTAGAACCAATTTCAATTCTATAAGGACAGGAAGGGCAAATCCATCAATGCTAGATAAGATTGAGGTACAAATCCTACTCTGTTTAACGTTATTAAGTTTGTGTATGTGTATCTAAATGTAACAATTTGTTTTTCAAATAGACATAGGATTGATTTTTAAAGTTTAATACGGTCAAGGGCACGGATATGCTGAAATGGTGTCCTAGTTCTTATGCTTTATTGATTCATCATTTTAGTAGAATTGTAATCCGTCGTTTAACAGATCATAATGATGCTTTTTTTCCCCAGGTAGAATATTATGGAACCCCAGTGAGCTTGAAAAGCATAGCTCAAATCAGCACTCCTGATGCAAGTTCTCTCTTGGTGCAACCATATGACAAGTCCAGGTTTTTCTTCTTGATAAACCCCAAGGAACTTGATTAATTTTACAGTTGTTGAAGGTGGATCAAACTCGTCTAGTGCTAGGGAGCAGAAAGATTTTCTAGTACAAGATATGGCGAAAATTAAGTGAAATTTTGAAAATTATATTGTTGCCTTTCTCCTGAACATATAAGATTCCTCCAGTTCTGTAGAGCTATTTATTATCTGTGATGTTAGTGAGTTGCCCATTAAATCATTTATATTTTGCCTGGCAATCCATGTCACCTACTGACATATCAGTTTTTCAGCTTGAAGGCTATAGAGAAGGCCATAGTAAACTCTGATCTTGGTATGACTCCGAATAATGATGGAGAAGTGATCCGATTGGCCCTCCCTCAGCTGACATCTGAAAGAAGAAAGGTATTACTTGACTCTTTAACATCTGCCAATACTATTTTTGCACTATTTTCCTGAAGGTCTCTGGCATCAGACAGTTTGCACTACGTTAACTGGTTCGTGCACATTGACAAGTAATTTTGTGGGTTTATTTCCTGGTATTTTGTATGTGCCATTCATCATAAACTCCACCAGATTCTTACATTAAGCCTGGTCCTTCAGTGATCTCTTTATTATGATCAGGAAGGAAATAGGATTTTTACTTCTTAGAGATATTCTTATGGCTTTTGGTTCCATCATCAAAATGGACAATGAACACGGCCTTTTTCCTTTTTTCTAAGGTTTTGATGCCTTGTTCTATGACCTTTATGGTAGAAAAGGATCTTTCTACCAGAGTTCTACCTAAACTTTAAATCTTGCAAATATCTGCCTTAATCTCCAGGTTGTAAGCTTGATCAGATTACACATCTCTGTGCTATAGGTTTTTACAAATTGGGTTTACAAGATTTAACTAAGTTGTGACCAAAGAACTAAGCTCTTTCTGAATAATGACAGGACGCAAAAGAACCGCCGATGTGGCTAAGTTGCCCCTGATTGTGCATTTTTGGAGGCTGATTTGGGAAGAAGATTGAATAGACAATAGATAGATATTTTTGAGTTAGAGCTATCATATTATTTAACATAGTGAAAATTAGCATTAGCTTGTTTAGTGGTTAATCATCACCTATAAAAGATATAGGTTATATTTGCTAATTGTCCAGAAAAATGAGTAAAATCTGAATAGTTTCCTCTTGAACTTTCTCTGTGAAATTCTTCATTCTTCCTTTCCTTCTTCACCAAGTTTCAAGAACCTGAATAATAATTAGATTGCTCTAACCCAATCTAGTTTTGTTTGGACTATCAATCATTGTAACATCACTTGCAATTCAAGCAAGCCAAAACATTCTTCTAAGTTCTTGACATTTTAGCTACAGTTTTTTTGTTTATTTACATGATTACAGGAACTGTCAAAAATTGTGGCAAAGCAGGCTGAAGAAGGGAAGGTATTATTGCTTCTTTTGTCAATGGTCTTTTCTTTTTTCGAGATGACTTATTTAACAGTATTAGTTGTTGGTGTATATTTATTGTGATTTTTGTTGCTTTATCAGGAAATAAGGTCTTTTGTAGCAAATATAGGGAAAATAAAGACCAGGTCATATCTGTAGGCAAACAATAAAGCAGGTCCCAACAGTGAAAGGTTTTTGAATTGCCTGATTTACATAACTTGGTCTAAACTTGCAATTGATATAAAAAGATGTAATGGTTTGTTACTATCGTCAATAACATGGAAAAAATTTGTGCTTAGATAGGTATTCTAGTTAACTTGATGCATATTGTCTCTTAGTATTACTTTGACTATTTGATTATCAGTGGTTTATACTAAATTAAAGTCAGTGACCTTAACTGATTTTCTTTCTACTGTTTATAGGTTGCATTGAGGAATATACGAAGAGATGCGTTAAAAGCCTACGAAAAGCTTGAGAAGGTATGTGTCTTTGAGACCTAATTCTTTTCTAATGTTTTCCCCCAAAAGTTGAAAGAACTTTTTGTCTCTTTCTCTAGCACTTATTTTCCCATCTTTAAATTTGTTTTCACAGGAGAAAAAACTTTCGGAAGACAACGTGAAGGACTTATCAAATGATCTGCAGGTTACTTGATACTTAGTATTGTGAAGTCATTATGTTTTATGCAAAATGGTTTTGAAACTTAAAAGAGAGCAAATTTCTCGATTATCTTATTTGCTTCTGAATCTGGACCAAGGTTCCAAATCCATAGACCAACGGCTTCTCGTTGCCTTTAGAATGAAGGACACTGTCTGCTTGGTAATCTTTTAAATTAGCTTTCTATACTTCTCAGCTAGCTCCAATGAGATGGCTGATCTCGTTAAAATAGAGAGTAAATAGCTCCTGGATGGCTACAATTGAATTGCTTCATTGGAATATGACATTCCAAGGATCCTTACACCTGAGCCTTTTGTTTTCTTCACTAATGGCCTGAGCCTTTTGTTTTCTTCACTAATGGTTGTTGAGTGGTAGTTATCCGTGCCACTTCTTCCTCTGTATCCTTTTAATTGTGTTGTTCCTCTCTCTCCTCAAAGTAATCTTCTTGTGTATAAATTTCCTTTCTTTTTCTCAGGAATCTAAGCGTCTCCATATCAACATGATCCTCCCAGTGTGCCTATGCACAGAATTCACTGGTCTGACTTTTCCTTTTTCTTGAGAGCAAATGATGGCATAAAGAGGCACCAATGGGATGCCTCTGTGTCCCAAAATAATTGCATCTATCTCAACAGAATAGGTCAAATAGATCAAGAAATCAGCCCCATGGAAAAGTCTTATTTTTTGTTGTTTGGCCAACAATCAATCGGGATTATTGGAATACTTGCGTTAAAGAAAAAGTAATAATTTTAGTATGCATCAGATTATTGTTGAAAATGCTTTGGCATGAGATCCCTGTAATGGTGTGGATGGATTCCTCAATTCTCTGTTATCTTTCTTTGTCCTTTTTGCACTACATAAATAATTTAATACAACAGGTTTTGCCTATACAAACCTATGTGCTAACACCTTTTGTCTTGTGCAGAAACTGACAGATGATTACATGAAGAAGATTGATAACCTCTACAAACAGAAAGAGAAGGTATACATCACCTGAACAAAACCAAGGGAATACAATAATCTGTAGTAGTGATAGCATTCACGTTACTGTTAATTTCAGTACATATATTTCATCTAAGTAACAACAAAAAAAAAAAAAAAAAAAAAAAAAGAAAAAGGATCCAATCACCTACCTTGTTGATAACTGTTGACTACCAGGGGTTAGAGATGAACTGCTCTCGTGTTCTTTTCCAGGTCAATTCCTATTAACTAAGCCAAGTTAGATTTACCTAATCACTGTTTCTTGGATAGAGATGCAAGGGAGTAACAAAAAATTTGACAGTCTAAGTGAGAGTTTAAAAAACAGTTATCCAGTAAGTAAGAGTACAAGGGAAGGAATGGGCTGTGGCTTTAAGCACTAACGAGCTCAAGCTCCCAGTGTTTAGAGTTATTAAATGTGCGGATATTTGACTTTTTTTCTCCTTAACTATTTGGTTAAGTTAGAGTTTGTAGTTAAAGAATTGGTTAAAAAGCAAAAGATTACAATTTATTGCCAGCTTTTTGTTTTTTGACTATATGGTTTTTACTTATTTTGGAGTGCAATAAAATGCTCTTGAGTTTTTTCTTTTCCATAAAACTAGTTTAAAGCTGCATGACTAAAGAAAGAAAAAGGCCAATCTAAACACTCTTATTGATCTAGCTCATCCTGAGACAAAAGGTTTGTGTTAATAAGCATCCTATCAGCAGATAACTCTTATCACAGGGAAGGTGAATCACAGTAGAAGGGAGCTAGAGATTGAAAATGATATGTCGCTTTATCCATCTGTATTTTTCAATGAGTTTTTGAAAGTATGGTCTCCCAAAATCTTTTTTGCTGTTCATACATTATTATATACTCATGCCTCTACTGCACTGCTGTTATCTCATGCGTATCTTATCCCTTATCAACTTGACACTTCGAACAATATACTACTTTGAGGTTTGATGTATGTGCTTGTACTTCTTTTTCAGGAGTTATTGAAAGTTTAAAACAGCCAATTGCCTTGAATTTGATGAGCTTCCATCCCGGCAGTCTCTTTTTGGGTAAATCTGTGGCGCCTTTGTTCATACTTGTATTGTTGTCAGGGGGGACTTTTAAAAAATGGGGTCGGGGTTCCGAAACCAAAGGTAAAACATAGTTTTTTAGCTGATTCTTGCGGAAAGTTCGTATAGCAAGCTCTGAACTCTTTACTTTTTCGTATAATCATACGAGTCCAACATAGAATCCATCTCAATTATGGTTTTTATAGATTGAAGATGTTGGCACTCTAAAAAGATAGGGGAAAATGGTAGCTATTTCTTTCTGAACCCATCTGTGTTCGTATATAAACATGGACGACAAATGTGTGCGGTCTATATAAAAGTTTTAGAATTTACTTTTGGTTATTCTTTCCAGGTCCACAAATCAGAGCCCATCAGCTTTCTGCATATGGTGCTAAATTTCCAAAAGGTGGGCAAAATGAGCATCTTGCACCTCATTGAAGTTTGTTCTAATCACTAATTAGTTGTATTATATCTGATTACTTTAATTAATTAATTAATTAATTAATTAGTTAATAATAATATTATATTTTAATTAATTAAGTTAAACTTAATTTAGATGAACATTCTTTTTCTTGGAAACTTCCAAGGAGCAAAAGACATGAAAAATATAAAAAGTGCACAAAGTTGAGGACCACCAACCCCTACAACTGAACTAATTAATACTTCATGTTTATCTTATTTTATTTCATTTTCAGGTCTATCATTCGTGGCCCTGCTCTATTATATATATATATATATATGTATGTATGTATATATACATATATATATATATATATGTGTTAAAAGTTAAGCTTGTACAAAATGAGTGGACAAAATAGAAAATCCAAAAGGTCCACCATCAAGTTTTAAGCAACAATGTTATAGTTAAAAATTATATAATGTTTGGCCAACTTTTACCTACTTTACAATTACAACTAATTTCATTTACTACTCTATTATATATATATATATATGGAGAAGGACGTTGCTTTGATGGGCCATGTGGCCAAGAAAAGTTGGTGGGTCCATTCAAAGCTCAAGCATTTTGGTGATGATCTTAAAAAATTACAAAAAATTTCTCTCCTTAACAATTATGTTAGGTTAAAAATAGTGATTTGATACCTATACTAGTTTAAATTAGTCTTCATCTTAAATTTTTGATTAAATTATTTTTTAAAAAATTTAATTTAAATCTTTTTTATCGATATAAATTGACATTGTTAATTTAAATTATTATGTATTAAATTTATTGATACGTGATACTTTTTTTTTTTATATTAATTTGAATGTTAGTTGAATGTTATCAGATATCACGTGACATTAGAAAAATATTGATGTACATTGATTTAGACTGGATCCTAAATAAAAAAATTCATTAATCGATATCATTAAAAAAAAAAAAAAAAATCCTAATCATTAGCATTAATTGCGGTTCCAATTATCAACACATTTGTTTTTGCTCTAATTCTTTTTTGCATCTTTAATTCTCCTTTACGCCTCCCATTTTCCTCGTGCACGTTTCCTCTCTCCAAATGGTATTCGTCTTCCTCGTCTAACCCTAAATTCGAGAAGGTGATAATGGATGAACGAATGAAGAAAGAGAAGAAATGGAGGGTTTAGATAGAAAAATGGATTGAGCATGACAATAAGAAGAATGGGTTCAACAAAGCACTTCCTCCTTGGTTCTGTCCATTGCCATAATATCTTATTTATTTTCGACGCTACAATCATTTATACTCCAGTTTCTGACCAAAGTCTCCCCAAGAATACCATATTGGACCTCACATTCGATACCATCAATAATCGGCCCCTCCTAGTCTCCACGATGAGGATGGTGCCTCTCACAATGATGCAAATGAACTTTTTTTTTTCTATGTTTTGATTGCGATAATAATGAGTAACATATGGAAGTTAATGATTTTTTTTTTTTTTAAATTTATGAATCAGTTTAAAATAATTTATCTTCCTATTCTTTTTATATCACGTCAGATATCAAGTGACATTTAACGTAATATTTAACTAATATTTAAACTAATAAATTTAACATACGATACTTTAAATTAATAACACTAATTTTTATTAATAATAATGTTTAAACTAATTTTTTTATTAAAAAAAATATAGGGACTAATTTGATAGTAAATTTATACAAGTACTAATATAAAGGACAAAATTATTATTTTTAACCAATTATATTATATATTAACTTTATATTAAATTAAGCAATAAGGTTAAAAAAAAAACAAATAATTTATTTTTTTAATTAAATTAATCAAGCTTCTTTTGAGTTTTAATCATGCTTAGAGCATCCACCTAATGACCATTTCTTTTCAATTGATTAAATTAAACCGTTCTTCAACTTTAATAAGAATCTCCTATATTATAATAATAATAATAATTATTATAATAATAATAAAAGTAGTTAAAACATATTATAAATTATTATATTAGTTAAAACATAAACATTAAATTATAAATTTTAATTAGATGACAAATCTAATTTTCTTTTTGTTTTTTTAATAATTTTTGGAACAATTTTTGGTGTATATATATATATATATATATATATGTATGTGTACATACATTGACCCGAGTTGGGTCCAATGAATTTTTAATTTGTTGATATTATCAATATTTAATTCTTGTTATTTTTTAATTAAAATGGATGAGATTGTCTTAACCCACTAGCATATTTTATATTATATATGACAAATATATAATATAGTTTTTTTTTTAAAGTTGTGCATGTAGAGCATAAAATAATATATTTAGTAAAAAAAAAAAAAGGATATAAAATAATATAAGATTAAGCTTATGTTAATTATAATAAAAATTTAATTGGCTACGATATTCAAACTCCAAATCGAGCATGAAAGGGTGCGCCATACATACATTTATATATATATATATATATTTAAATATGAGTTGATTAATTAATACATTAATGTGTGCGTTATTATAATAATTATATTATAATGATCCGTACCCACATGCCAAGATATTCATATTATATATATATATATATTAGGTTGAATGAATTTTGTACAAATTACTAAACTTTAATTAATTAATTTAATTATTTAGTCAAAAAAATTGAATAATTTATTTAATTTAATGATTTATAATCTCAATAACGTGGAATAATATAATCATTATTATAATATCTATTCCGCATATGAATTTATAACCACGATAACGTGGGACCATAATAATAATTTGTTATTTTATTAAATATTTTATTATTATTATTATTATTATAATAGAGGAAGTGGGAATTATGTTAAAAAATTAATTCCATGATATTAAAAAAATATAATAATTTAACTAAGAAGAAAAGAAAAGATAATTTAAATAATTTAAACTTTAAAATATAATAAAACTCTGTAGCCACCATGATATATTTTATATATATATATATATGTATGTATGTGTGTATGTATAATTATTATATACATTTTTTTTTTTTGAATTTAAAAATAAAGATTGCTTCGAAAATAATACCTTTCAAGAATAAAATAATGCGGCCAGCCATCACTACTATTTTCTTCCCAGAAAGATTAAAAAAAAAAAAAAGTATGCAATAAAGTTTATTATTTTTTAAAAGGCATCATACCAGAATCTCTGTGCATTTGCAGAGACCATGTACTCTCTCATCTTTAAAATTTTCAGACTTGGACGAATTATATAAGTTTGATTTGTGCGATTTGCTCTGGAAAGTTTCCAACTTTCGCGAGTGAATTACTGTAAAAAAAAAAAAAGAGGGGGGAAAGAGCAGACAGAAGAAGAAGAAGATAGTAACCAGGTGAAAAACAGAGAAGATACAGAGGGGAGAAGCCGAGGAGGAGAGAAAGAGAAATTCCTCTTTGTATGCTCTGTTTGTTTTCTGGGTCTCTCTGCTGCTCTGAGTTTTCTCGGATGATTTAGTTTGACTCGATGTGGTGATTCACTGAGAGTTCATGGACAGAAACAGGGAAGCAAAGAGATCAACCATGGCCGCTTCAAATGGACTTTCTAGACGACGACCCAGAAGCAACGGTATCCGATATTCTCTTGGTGGGATCTCTTGATTCCTTATTTCTCTTGAGATTTCCATGTTTGCTCGTGAGTTTTCCAAATGAATTACTTATATATGCTGCTTTAGTTGCAGAGGAGGATGAGGATGTGGAGATGCAAGAGACGGCGAGGATACAAGATCGAGCGGAGAAGAGAGATCGGGACCCAGATTTTTCCAACCGAAGCAAGAAAAAGAGAGGCGATAAGTTTTCTCAGAGGATTAACAAAGAAGGAGAAGAAAGTACAGAGGAAAGTTGGGTTGACGAAGATGAGTACGAGACCCAAGAGGGCAAAGGAGCGTCTCAACGGAAGAGCTTGCCGGTGGGTAGAGTCATGAAGCAAACGGCGTCATCGGTGAAGGTGACCGACGAGTTGATTGCCGTCTCAGTTCCTAGAAAGGCTCGGTCAGGTTAAATATTTTGGCTTTTCGGTTTTTTTTTTTTTTTCTTCTGAGGAAGTTTATTAATCAGCCATTTCTGGTGGGACTTTTCTACAGCTTCCATGAAGAGGTCATTCGAGTCCTCCGCTTTATGGTATGGGGAATACCAGAACCAGAAGTGCAGTTCATCATCCCCAGGGAGCCGGCGTGTTGAGGCTGCTTCGCCATGTTCTTCCGGTGTTTCAGTTAGGAAGAAGACGGTCAGTCATGCTCTGTTTTTTAAGTTTAAATAACCAGCTAAAAAAACAGAGGATTGAGTTTCTTTTTTTTTTTTTTTCAAATTTTGTGTTTGCAAAAGCCAAGCAAAGCCAAGACTCGGCTAGGGACCCAATCACAATCTTCCAGCTCGGGGCAGGAGGATATAGAGATTGAGGTGGCAGAATTTTTGTTTGGACTAATGAGGCAATCTCAGATTTCGAAGGAGTATAAGAACGAATTTTCCATGGAATCTGAACTAGAAAATCCAAGCGCTGTCAGAGATGATCGAAAGCCATCTGGGTCCTCTCCGGTTGCAAGCTCTGGACAGAACAATCGCCCAGCATCTGATTCATTGATTGAAGTTGGTGGGTTTTCTTTAGTTTTCAATAAGATGTGAAAGATGTTTTCCTCATTATTTTTCTTATGTTTATAGGGCTGTTCTTCATCGGATTACAGCTGAAAAGAAGAGGAAAATGGAGGCTGAAGAATCTTCCTTCTTACTGGAGAATGGATCAAATGCTCCTGCAATCGAATTCGAAGTCAAACACTATGACAGATTGGAAAAGTCTTCAGGATATGAAGATGAAGTAGGAGAAAGGATTCTTAAGCAATCAAAACAATTAACGGAGGAATCTGGTTGCGATGATGAGTCAGAGGATAGAAAGCAACAATCCATATCCCCTGAAGATAAATCAATTTTGTCCACTAAAATGGATGTTGATTTTCAGGACATGAAAATGACAGAAGGGTGAGCATTGAGGAATCATCTCATTTGATTATATTCTGATATTTGATTTTCTTCTGATCCCATTTTGATCTTATCTCTTGTGGGATATCTCAGGGTATCAATCATATGGAAGGGGGAGAGTCACGAGGGGAAGTTGAAGATCGATCTGATGGTGAGAATTCTACTTGTCACATACTGATTAGATTTCCATTGCTATTCTGCTCTCAGATTACTGAAGAAGACTGGCTTTGCAACAGGCTCCTCCTTTGCCGGATAGGGATGGTTTCATGGATTCTAAACTGGGGATTCAGGACTCAGAAACTGTGCGTATAAACAGATCCTTAATTATTTCATGAGCAAATTTTCCAAAGCTTGAAGCTTTGGACCTAAACTCACATTTGTTTGATGCAGAAGGGGAGTTTGATTAAGGATGAAGAGAAGGTGGTGAAGGAGGAAGAGAAGATGGAGACAGTCGGAGAAAACCGCCAATTGCTAACACTTGATTTGGAGAAGCAGCCAAATCAGGAAGGTCAGAAACAAGATCAGACTAAAACCATTCTTCCTCAAATGGAACAAATTGGTAATCTATTATTTCTTTTTCCTTTCGGTAAATGAGCTGGGATTGGATTTATTGACAACAACTTTTTCTTCTTTATCATCTTCAGGCCAAGCTAGCTCAGTTCCTTTGCCAATGGCTGTAGGTAGCTGGTCGAATGGTCAAGTTCTTCTGTCTCAACCTCGGCCTAAGAGATGCACCACCCACCATTACATTGCTCGTAAAATACACTTGCACCAGCAGTTCATAAAGACTGATAATTTATGTGGATCCAACCCCAAAAACCTCAAGATCATGTCCTCTGCCGAAAACATGATTATCGGAAACCCATTGCAAAGGATGCCTGTGTTGAACCGGAATTCTGCCCAAGAAAAAGGGCAAGTTGTTGGAAATATCTCTAATCACATTCAGAGAGATATAGCTTGTGAGACTACAAATTTGACAAACACAGCACAGAGAAAACAGTTTGTATTTCAGCAAGCTTCACATCCATCTGTAATTCCATCCGATCATCTAGCGGTATAAACTTTTAGTCTCACTATTAATTAGCAATGGATGCTTTACTTGTTGCATTTCATTACTGTTTCTAATCTGAAAGTTTTTTTGTGATTCTATCACGGAATGGCAGCATGATCGAACTTTCACATTCTCAATGAGTCAGCAACAAAAGTCAGTTGGGCCACCAGGAAATCCATCTGGGCTGTCCAAGTCTTACACCTCAATTGACAATTCATCATTATTTGACAATTCAGTAACGGGAGTTTCAGCAAAGTCTACTACCCTGCCAACAGTTGTAAGCTTCACCTATCCGAATTCGACTGCCAGTGAAGCTCCCTACTTGACTATAATGCCTAACAATGTTTATCCATTCTCTATATCTGCTCCGGCAATTAAACAAGAGAACCCAGCTCAAGCATTGCCATTATTCAATGGATCTCTTTATCCATCTCATGTGTTCCATCCTTCCCAGCTCCAGCATCAACAGGCTCGTCAAAATTCAAGCGCATCAAGTGGCTCGTCTTCATCCCATAAACAGCCACAGAAGCAGCATCAAACGCCAAACCAGAGTTCTCACAAGCTTGAGTCTGATGCAAATAGGGAGACTCCTCTACTTGTTGATACTCGAGGCTCTCGGAAAGGCACTTACGGTCAGACTTCGATAACTCCCATTTCGCAGATGAGCTTTACGATGATGCCTTCGATGACACCAATGGGGATTAGTAGTGGCATTGGAAATCAATGTGAGATGCAGCAGCTTAAGAGCTTAAAGAGTGGGGTTGAGTTGGTTCCTCCTCAGGCATTTGCCATGGCATTTCCCTCCTCCAAAAATTGTACAGCTTCAAACCTGAATTTCTCATATTTACCGCAAAATCATTCAGTCTTTCAGAGCCTCCCAGATCACATGGGTAGACCAGGATACCAAACTGTTGCTGCACCTAAGAAAAATCACCAGGTATCTGAGGGAAAAACACCCACACCAAATGGGCAAATATTAGTTTTTGACAATTCTACAAGAAATCTAAACTTTACATCATCTTCTATGGCCGTAAATTGGCCTCCCATTGCTACTCCATCAAATGCCTTGCAGCATCCAAGGCAGCAATCTGTAACCCGAAGTAAATCACCCACAAACAAAACCCTACCAGCATCTTCCATCGCCGCTAAATTTTCAAACAATCCAATTATATTTCCTGGTACCGTGCAAAACAATTCTGCTTCTTCTTCTGGTCAAGCATCTCACTGGAAAAGCTCAACAAGAAACCCATCTTCTTCCCAAGCACCTCCCACATGCAATTCCTCATCCCTAAACACTCTTCTGCCGAGAACGGCACCACAAGTTCAAACCCAGATATCGTTTGTGCAGAATTCGAAGGCAATATTAACACCACAAGGGCAACAAATACCCAACGGCATTGGGTCCTCATCTAGTGGTAGCAAGCAGAGAACAAGTTCCACAGGCGGCAAAGTCTCATCTCCTGACCCATTGAAACAGAGTGAGAGTTCTTCAGGTGGGAGTGGGCAGAAGTCGTCCCCAGTTTGCGGAAGAAACGTGCCATCAATCTTAAGCGCATGCCCCAATTATCTGTCAGAGCTAAAATATTAGGGAGGGAAAAAGATGGTGATTGATGATGAGCGGATAAAGATAAAATATTATTTTCTAATGATACGACGTGTACATACACATACATATATATATATATATATATATCTATATCAATTCTTTTTTCTAGAAAAAAAAAAAAGAAAAACTTGCCTTGTAAAAAACTAATCTTCTTATTAATTTATTATTTTTATTAAAATTTAAGGTTGATGGTTTGAACAAAACTGAAGTTTTTAGTATTAAATTAATTTTTACGTTGAATTTAAATTATACTCGAAAAGTCAACTGATCTGGTTGGCTTTGAACACATTCCTACCATTTGACGCCAATCTTGTTTTACTCTTAATTTTAAATTCGTATCATTTAAATTCTCTTATTTTATTTACATACATATATATATATATGGTTGTGGGTTAATTTTCTAATTTTCAAGTTTCTCCGCAATTTCCTGCATTGATTAACTTTTTAATTTTCAAAGGTGGGTCAAAGTATGTTTTTTAATTGTATGATTGTTTGAAAGAACAAAAAAAAAAAAAAAGCAATTATATGATTCTTTATATCACATGTGATTATTTTTTAAATTATGCGTAGTAGGTCGGGTTCAAATGAGTTTTGAAAACTTAAATTCGAATCCAACTCTTACCCCCTTCTTTTTTTTCCGCTAACTTAAACTCGAATCTGCACTTTAAAAAACGATACATCGTATTCGTAGGGATCGAATTAAATGATTTGAGTGCTAAATACTAACCCTCCTCGTATCAAAGATTCTGATCATTCAAGAAAGAGGGAGTGATCTTCTTCTTTTCATACACTTTCTCAAGCATATAAGAATTTATATCCCACTTTCCCCCTTCCCCCTTCCCCCATAACTTGTTCTTCCCTCTTGTATTAGGAGGTACAGTTCCCTTCTACTTGTATATATACATGCTGACTTAAACATCACTAGTATGGGTGATTAAGATATTAGAATTTAAAGTCATTCGCATATTACTTGCATTTGATTGTTCCGAACATTCCAAACTTTATCGTGAAAAACACGATCTAATGATTTAGACGAAGAAAAAGTTTATGTTAGGCCAACCTCTAAGTTTTGTTGACTCCCATTTTCTAAAATCATACATACGTGCAAAATGGTTGAAATCAAAGGGTTTGGATCCAAAAGGTAAAACCTAGCATTACTTCTATAAGCATCATGTCTCCCTTGTATAATA